CTAGACAACATGCCATGCCTACGCAGCAGGTGCAAGTGGTTCAACAGTGTAGGCTCTCCTCTGGATCTTATCTGCTATTTTTAAATCGATTTTCGATGTCTACGATTAAATTATCAACTGTTTGTGTGTGCACTAATGTGATTAGTCAGCGCCAATGCGCTTCTACTCTGAGCTGAATCAAACGTATTCAGAAATTTAACGAGAATGGAAACTAAGATTACAGCCTAGTTGGGGACTGAATGCTGTTCAACAAATAGCACCAAGCAGGGGTAGCATCAGTGCTTTGATGGTTGCAGCTGAGCTTGAGTTTTATCTCTTGTCTTGGCATAGTAAATTCGACTGTGGTGGAAGGGAACCACACAACCGTGGTGAATGGAAGCAGCGGAGGAACTGTGGCAGCTGTGTCGCAGCCGGTAACGGCAACTACAATCCAAGCACAGACTGCATCCCCTGCTGCTACAGTAGCCGCTCCACCACGTGCGCCATCCCCTCTCTTCGTCTCGGTGCCTCCGCGAACTTCCAGAGTGCTTCACTCCGAAATTTATCAGAGGTCGACATTTTTCACGCGATACTGGTGCCCATAACTTGCATTCTGAGCCTTCATTTGCATAAATACGAATATCTCTTCTTTGGTTTTAATTTAGTAGCATTGCAAACCACTAGCATGCAAGCCCTTGGAGGGTCCTAGCTACCAGTAATAAGCATACTATCCCCTCACTTATGATCGTTTTTGCAGGTACATTGATAGATTGCGTCGTAACACTCCTTGCTTGAGCGAATGGAAGAAACAGATCTCAGTTACCATAGAATCGCTGCCCCCAATGACACAACAGCAACAGCAACAGTTGGCTTCCAATTTTCTGGACACTCCACAGTTGCATTCACATCATGGCACCATCGTGGACGCCCTCTGGAGTCTGCGAGATAACTTACTCAAGGATTCACTCAATATACGTACCCGCATTCTCGGTGTCGAGGAGCTGTAGAGGCGATTGGATCCCCGTTCCCACCTTTTGTTGTCCTTGTGCATTTGACTCAATTTCTCTATCATTAGTGTTTCTATAGGTGTACAATTAGTCGTCTTTGCCGATACGCACTTATCTGAAATAAACAAGTTCACCTATAACCTAGTGAGAAGCCCATCCAGTGGGCTACCTTTTCGTTAACCAAAGTTACACACTGCTCGCGGTTTTGAACGAGCTAAGCGGAAAAGTGCAAAGCGAAAATTAGGTTATCATATTACAACGACGGATATACAAATCGGGTGTCATGTCACTGCTCTGCCTTTGTTCCCAAAATTGAAGAGAGGGTTGGCGGCTTTTTTCTAAAAATGATAAAAAGGCACTAGCACTAGAATATGCTAAATATGGAACGGAGATGTTCTTAAACGGGTGACTATCTTATTAGGCATCGAGATTCCAAAAAGAGACTGTCCTCTTCACCTTTCGCGCCATCTGGCGTTTGATCTGAGCAACCTTAGCCGGATTCCGAGCGATGGCCATCTTAACTCTATGACTCCTCAGTTGGGTTTTCCTTATGGGCTTCTCAGTGCCATCACCGACGTCAGGTCTGGGGACCTTTGGCTTACCGGCGGGCCATTGCCGTTCTCTGACCCAATTGAT